TCCAGCCGCATTGCCCGTCTGACTCACTGACCTTACTGTTTTGAATTTGAGTTCTGTTCCTGCGTGTCACCCAGACAACCTAGTGGCTCTTTCTTTCCTTTGCAGGTTTCTGTTAAAATATTACCTTTCTCAATAAGCTCATTTAAAGCATAAACCTCTCTATCACTATTTACCCCTTCACTCTGCCTCCTAGCTTTTACCACTGCCTGACAGTATACCACAGTTACCCGTTTCCTTTCTGTTCCCCTTAACTAGAGCATCGATTCCAAAGAGGATGGGGCTCTATCTTGTTCACACTATATCTCCAGTCAGAACATGCAACTGAATGAAAAGAGAATAGTTAGGCTAAATCTGATTCTCTATTCACTGAACCTAAAACATTAGCAACTTTTTATGTTTAGAAAAGTATATGACAATAATCAACACCACCACCTCCAACAACAAAAGAGCCTTTGTACAAAAATATAAACCAAGTAATATTGGTTCATGTGTATTTGAAATCTTAATAGGTCAAAAAGTACACAAGATCCATCTCTAAAAGACCAGACACATAAAAATATTCTTATAAAAAAACAAATAAAAACATTCCTCAGCATTCCAGAACATTCTCTTACCTGGAAACAATTATTCCATTATTACTTGCAATATTATTTTCCTTATTTCCAACATCTTATCTTGTTTTAAATAAAATAAACATTTTAACTGTTTCAGGTTATATTTAGTTTAATTTTGAAAAAATCAAATTATTTTAAGATTAAATATAATTTAGTAAAAATTTACACTACAAAGTAAATATAATCCACATAGAATTTTTTTATTCTTCCCCCCACCCCAAAATAATAAGTACCCATATCTCAAGGTTATATTTGAAATTTTATATTTGCAGCTAAATATCAATGTTAATTAAATAGAAACCATTTAGAAAACCATTTAAGAAAAAAATAAGTAAATCTATACACACTAGTACAGTTTTGGCTTTTATGACAATATTTTTAAAAGAGAAATTATAGCTTCTTTTAGGTCTCAAGAGGTAATACACAATAAGTCACATAATTGCAAACACACAGTTTGACAAGAAAGTAAACATCACAGAGTAGCCTCTTTTATCAAGTAAGTGGGAATCAGAACAGTGTTATATATTAACAATTAGTTGTGAAATATGAAGTCTGGTACATGAGATCAAACAGATCTTTGACAGAGATAAAAACCACAAAGTTATATGCCCTTGAATAAATAAACTTGAGAGAGGGAGAATGTGTGAATGATCATATGGTTGTACCAACCATAAATCCATCCCAATTTATGTCTTTGATTTAAAAAAAAAAAAAAAACTGAATGTAGTACAGTAGAGTAGTAAAAGGGACAATTTATTTGCTCTGGTCAAGAATGACATCTGTCCATGATCTAGCACTGTTTTCTTTTTGTTGTTTGTTTGTTTGTTTTTGTTTTAACTTTCATAGATAGGGTGGGAGTGTGAAATTGTTCTTGTCTAGTTATTCAGTTTCCAGGCTTCTGTTAATTATTATAAAATAGCATCTATAATATAGTAATTACATAATTTTCAACTGCACTGGTTGGCACAATTCAGATCAAAGTCAACTTCAACTTTGGGATTAGTAGAACATATCCAACAGAGTGCTGAACACCAGCCCCATCTTTTTTTTTTTAATATATTTTATTGATTTTTTACAGAGAGGAAGGGAGAGGGACAGAGAGTTAGAAACATCGATGAGAGAGAAACATCGATCAGCTGCCTCCTGCACACTCCCAACTGAGGATGTGCCCGCAACCAAGGTACATGCTCTTGACCAGAATTGAACACGGGACCCTTGAGTCCACAGGCCGACGCCCTATCCACTGAGCCAAACCGGTCAGGGCGATCTGATTTTATTTTAATGTTCACTTTGGAATTATATGCTGGTTTCATAATAAATACAGTGCATAAAGGATTAAGAAAAACACTTATTTAAATATTAAGTGACAAAGGAGGAGATGAAATTATCTCTACAATATAATCTAAATCATGTAAAAAAAGTCTTAAAGAAAAAAATGTCAAAATATTAAAACTGAGCATTGATATCTGGAGTATGTATATACCTGTATTTATGCATTTAATTTTTTCTTTCTTTTATATACTTCCCATCTTTTCTACAATGAACAACTGCTAGCTAATAGTAAGAATAAAAAATAAACTTGAGAGATAAATGTGCCACTAAAAGCCAACAGTTGCATTCTTAACTATGGTTAATTTGTAGCATGCAAAATACAAAGCTAATTTGTAGTTAAGCATGCATTGCTAAAATATTTCGCTGGTTAAGTAAAGCAACTGCATTGTTTCTGAGGGAAAAATCAAGAGTAAAGAGGGAGAAAGTGTATCCACATACACATACAAATGAAAGTATTACAAAAATGTCAGTAAATACATTTTACTATAAAGTTATTCTTCTTACTCTGTTTATAAAGAAACTAGAGGCCCAGTGCAAGAAATTCGTGCATGGGTAGAAACTAGAGGCCCGGTGCAAGAAATTCATGCATGGGTAGAGTCCCTAGCAGCTGCTGGCTGCCGGCCGGGGCCTTCCTTCGTTCCGCACCGCCCCCTGGTGGTCAGTGCACATCATAGTGAGCAATCGAACTCCTGGTCGGCTGAACTCCCGAGGGGACACTTTGCATATTAGGCTTTTATATATAGATGGAGACTTACTATTAAATACAAATGAAGCAAACTGCAACCTCTGCCTCTTATCCCACTTGCCAATATAAATTTAATAAATAGAATGTGAAAATTTAATCTTTAAGTAGCAAGTTTCATTTACCTCATTTTCTGGTGTTCTCTGAATTCTCAAAGGTAACTGAACTTAGATGTTACAGTACATATACATTTATCCAGAGTTCACCTGAGGCTAGAGTATCATATGCTCTTACTGATTTAGAGCCTACTACACAGAATATGTGTACATGCTTCCAACTTCTATGTCTGCTACATATCTGTCAGTTCCAGGAAAAGTGACCACTGGAAAATGGCCTATTAGCTTAGTTTTCCACTGTCCCCTGAATAATGTCACATTTCACACTCTGGCTTTTTCTCATTCACTCCCCCTTTCTCAATTGTGCCTACCCTCCATGATTCAGGAAATTTCCATCCTTTCTATAAAGCATCCTTCACTTACAAAATCTATAATAGCCTCTCCTCAAGCTTATATAAAAACTAGAAAGTTCAAATTCATACAATTTAGAGCATAATGCTCTCTAGTGATTTCATGTATGTTAATTTCATATTAAAGTAGATTATAAATGTTCTGTGAGCTCATATCTAGCGTATCCTTCTTCTGCATTCATATGCACGGTGGGAGTTCAGTGACCAGCAGAAAAAGAAAGATGCGCTAAAAGTTTCAATTAGAAATGAGAATCTTAGCAGATAATGAAGTCAATCAACCAAGCAACCAGGTATTCTTGGTACCCACTTGGTAGAGAGTGAAAACAGTCAGGTGTTATGGGAGAATCAGAGAATACAAGAATATGTTTTTGATGTGAGAACCTTATAATCTTTTTAATGTAAAAGGCACTTTAAAATTACAAAACAGTAGAGTAGAGTATATAATTAAATGTGTAGAAAATAAACTGTGGGACGGGGAATGAGAATCAGTTTTACTACTAGCATGATGCCTGAAGAAGTCACAAAACGTTTCATAAAGAAATAGAGCCTGAGACATAGACTTTTAGAATAAAAATTCTGAAAAAAAGTGGTGCATAATAGGAATACAATGAAAAACTCACAAAGCCAGAAAAAAATCAAAACAAGATTAGAGGCAAGAATTAGGAATTACTGAACAGTATTGTAGTTGGGTAAAATTCTGTAGGTCTAACTGCAGAAGAGTATAGGATAATTTAGGAGGAAAGGAAGAACAATGTTGTGTTTGTTTTTTGGTGGTTTTTTTTTGGCGGGGGGGTTGTTGTTTTTTTCATCTTCACATGAGGATATCTTCCCACTGAGTTTTAGAGAGAGTGGAAAAGACAGGGACAGACACAGAGAAATATCGATGTGAGAGAAACATATCGACTGGTTGCCTCCTGCACGAGCCCCAACCAGGTCCCAGGCCGGTGAGGAGCCTGCAACTAAGGTATGTGCCCTTGACCAGAATTGAACATGGAACCCTTCTCCCTGCAGGCTGACACTCTATCCACTGAGCCAAACCGGCTATGGCAACAATGTTGTGTTTTCAATAGGAAAGTGATCTTGGGAAAGCATAATTTAAATGAAATTGGCTGCGAGAACAAAATATATTGGAGGAAAAGTAGGCAGCCTGATTAATATGAAGAGTAGGAAAATGGGAATCAGACTTGGTTTTCTCCTAGTTTGATTTTGGTAAATGTATATAACTGTCCATTGTGCCTCTGGTGTTCCCATTTTTCTAATGAGACCCTGGGTTAACCTATTTTTCTAGTTAAAAAATCTATTGATATTAATTCTGAGCTCATATCTTATGAGGTATAAGGTATAAGGCTTGTCCAGCTATGAGCTAAAGATAGTGCAACGGGGAAGATCTGCTGAATATGACAAACTTCAAAACAATAACCAACAGGGTTTAATGGATGAATGGTTCTGGGAAATGAGAAAATTGGAAGAACCAAAGATGATTTATGATGTCAAACTGCATAGCTGGGGGAAATGTGGTATCTCAGAGGAAGAGAGCATACTGGAAGGGAGAGTTTGCTGTGCTATGTGCTCCTCCACCTTCTCTTGGCTGCAGGGAAGACAGCTTTCTCTCCCTGCTACTCTATGTGGAATCTCAGTGCTTAGGTTAGGTCTCCAAGATGCTGTGGTCACCAGCACAGAACCAGGAAGGGCCTAGATTTCTGACATTTCAGTTTATAAGTACAGCTGGATCATTTCATTGATACATTTGTATTCACCCCATACTTTCTGTACTGAGAACATCAAAACCACTATTTACGATATCTTTATGCATGGGCAAATGATCTCCATATTTAATACAACTCACTTGATGCTAGGGAGGAGGGTAGTAGCTGGAGGAGGAGGAGAAAGCCGAGGAGGAACATCATACTCTTCACTTCCTAGGTGACCATTGGAAAAGACCTGAAAGGAAATCAAAGGGTTAGTTTAGAATTTAATTTCTGGAGGATCTTAAAATAATAGCACCTTTAGAAAAACTTTGAAAAGAATATATAACTTCAGTTAATCAAGTGAAATATAATACAATTTACGTAAGAGTTAATAGCACCATAGTGATAATTCACACCATCCAAAGTAACACCAAGTTACATTAAAGAAATCCAATACAGCATGAGTCTTAAACATAGTAATAAGGAATACTGTAATTTCTATAAATCAGATACAGAGAGTTAGGTAAATAAAGAGTAAAATTCCCCAAGCATGATCAGGTTTGATTGAAAAATTAGAGTCTCTGTAAAGATTCAGTACAGAGAAAAGTAGCACTGGTGCAATTCTTATTTCAGTTCCTCCCAAGTGCTCGAAGTTGTATCTCTCAGGGGCTAACAGGGGTTAAGCTTCTCAATAACACAGTACATGAGTATAACCAGAAATGCCTCTGCTCTTTCAAACTTCAGCACGACTAGTAACTGGAGACCTGTCTGGCTTTCAAAGTGCAGGCACTTTCATACATAGATTTCCTTGTGTAAATGACACAAACCGAAATTGTTACCTTGCTCATAAGGTACCACAGAGAGTCACTGTTTTCCAGGGTGCTCAGTTGTATTAAAGAAACTGTCTGAACATCTGCTCTGTACTAATCGAACAACTTGAAATTAAAGCAACTAAAACAGAGAGAGCATAACTTTGAAAAGACATATTCAAGAGAAAAGCTTAAACATGTTTTAAGACCTTTAAGCAACCTTTAGGGTTTTATCATTGGCCTATTTCCCCTACTCTTATTAGTGAATACTTACAAGGTATAGTTGGATGTTGATGCAAAAAGGATGTAATATACCCTGAATAGTCCTAGGTAACACAATTAATGACCTGCCAATTACTTTTTTGTCCCCCTCATATGTCTAAAGTGGTGTTGAAGATTTAGAATGCAAAATTGAAAAGGCCCTACATATCCTTCTCTATCAACCTTAAAATAAGTAAAGCAACAGGTTTAAGGAATACATTTGAAATATGTCATTGTTTACATTTCAAAGCTACACAATCTAATTTTTATAGCATTAAGGTTTCACTCTAAAACCTAGGCCCTATACTATAGTAACATTTCTTTTTTTTCATACCTCCCCTCTTTAGATTCAATATGCTATAGTTAAGCTATGACAAAATGCACCTTTAAATGAAATTATGCTATCATAGATGTCTGACTATAGACCAAATATCAGAACAAGGCATTTAAAAAAAATTTACTAGAGACAAAAAATTATTAACTACATATTAATCATTGCAAAGCTCAATAAAAACCATTAACTTAAAAAATGCCTTGTAGGGATGAAGGAAGGTGGTGGCCAGCTGCATAGCAGTGAGGAAGAGAATGTGAGAGAGTGAGGGAGCAAAAGGGGAGTGTGCGGAGGTGTATGGTGTGTGTGTGTGTGTGTGTGTGTGTGTGTGTGTGTGTGTGTGTGTGATAGTTAGATCCTGAAGCAAATTCAGGGACTGGTGGACAGGGCTCTCCTAGACGGGGAGACCTGCTACTGGTGCAATCACTCCTGGGGCAGCTGGCTCTGACACAGTAACCACACCATCTTGAAGGGGAAAGCTGCTGTGACTAGGAGCCCATCCTCACCACCACCCAGAATGGCCCTAGATACCATTCTAGGCCCTACTGCCACTCTGACCTAAGACCTGCTACCTCAGATGCAGACCCATGGACACCGGGACCCCAGCCTCCCTGGCCACAGGATCCTGTGAGTTTCGCAGTGCGCTCCCCTCCTGCCAGCCCACCACTTTGGCCTGGGCCATTGTGGTCACCAGCACAGAACCAGGAAGGGCCTAGATTTCTGACATTTCAGTTTATAAGTACAGCTGGATCATTTCAGATCACAATGGCATAATATTAGAAATAAACCAAAATAAAAACAATAAAAAAATTCAAAGATTTGTAGGCTAAGTAGAATGCCATGAAACAATGACTGGTTTACCAAAGAAGAAATTAAAAACATCCTGGAAACAAATGACATTGAAAACACAACAATCCAAAATCTATGGGACACAGTGAAAGCAGTCCTGAGAGGGAAGTTCATAGCATTACAGACCTACCTAAAACAAAAAAAAAAAAACAAAACAAAAAAAGAACAATTGGTAATAAATTATCTAACTCTACGATTTAAAGAATTAAAAGAGAGCAACAAAAAAGCCCATAGTGAGCAGAAGGATGGAGATAATAAAGATCAGAGCAGAAATAAATGACATAGAGACCAAAAAAACAATAGAAAATATCAATAAAACCAAGAGCTGGTTATTTGAAAGGATAAACATGATTGATGAACCAGGCTCATCAAGAAGCAAAGACAGAGGACTCAAATAAACAAAATCAGAAGTGAAAGAGGCGCAATAACAACAGATCCCACAGAAATAGAAATATTTGTAAAAAAATACTATGAGCAACTATATTCCAACAAACTGGTCAACCTAGAAGCAATGAACATATTCCTAGAAAAATATGACCTTGCAAAACTCAATCTGGGAGAATCGAAAAATCTGAAAAGGCCAATAACTATGGAGGAAATTGAAGCTGTCATCAAAAAACTTCCAGCAAATAAAAGCCCTGGGCCAGATCCCTTCACAGGGGAGTTTTACCAAATAGTCAAAGAAGAACTGAAACCTATCCTCTTCAGACTATTTCAAAAATATTCAAGAGGAAGGAACACTTCCAAGCTCTTTCTATGAAGCCAGCATTACCCTAATACCAAAACCAGATAAAAGGTCCTACAAAGAAAGAGAATTATGGGCCAATATCCCTGATGAACATAGATGCTAAAATCCTCAACAAAATCCTAGCAAATCGGATACAGCATTACATTAGAAAGATCATACACCATGACCAAGTGGGATTTATTCTGGGGATGCAAGGATGGTACAAGATTCACAAATCAATAAACGTGATTTATCACATAAACAAATTGAGAGACAAACATCACATAATCCTATCAATTGATGCAGAAAATGCATTTAACAAAATCCAACACTCTTTCTTGATAAAAACACTCAACAAAGTGGGAATAGAGGGATCAAACCTCAACATAATAAAAACCTTATGACAAACCTAGAGACAAACATCACATAATCCTATCAATTGATGCAGAAAATGCATTTAACAAAATCCAACACTCTTTCTTGATAAAAACACTCAACAAAGTGGGAATAGAGGGATCAAACCTCAACATAATAAAAACCTTACATGACAAACCTACATCCAACATCATACTCAATGGGCAAACACTAAAACCATTTCCCCTAAGAACAGGAGCAAAACAGGGATGCCCACTCTCACCATTTCTGTTCAACATAGTACTGGAAATGCTAGCCAATGTGATTAAACAAGAAGAAGAAATAAAAGGCATCCAAACTGGAAAAAGGAGAAGTAAAACTGTCATTATTCTCAGAAGACATGATATGATATTGTACATAGAAAACCCTAAAGACTCCATCAAAAAAACTATCAGACTTAATAAATGAATTCAGCAATGTAGCAGGATATAAAATTAACACCCAGAAATCTATGGCTTTTTTATACACCAATAATGGACTTACAAAAAGAGAAATTTAAAAAACAATTCCATTTACCATTGCAACAAAATAATTAAGATACCTAGGAATAAACTTAACTATGGAGATAAAGACCTATACTCAGAAAACTAAAGGACATGGAAAAAAGAGACAGAGGAAGACATAAACAAATGGAAGAATATACCGTGTTCATGAACTGGTAGAATCAACATCATTAAAATGTCCACATTATCAAAAGCAATCTACAGATTCAATGAAATCCCCATTAAAATACCAATGGCATATCTCACAGATCTTAGAACAAATGCTCCAAAAATTCATAAGGAATAAAAAAAGACTCAGAATAGCCACAGCATTCCTAAGAAAGAAGAACAAACTTGGAGTAATCACAATAACAGATATCAACTATATTACAAAGCCACTGTTCCCAAAACTGCCTGGCACAAGAACAGATATATAGACCAATGGAACAGAATGGAGAACCCAGAAATTGACCAAAGCCATTATGCTCAATTAATATTTGATGAAGGAGGCACAAGCATACAATGGAGTCCGGACAGTCTCTTCAATAAATGGTATTGGGAAAATTGGACATATACATGCAAAAAACTGAAACTAGACCACCAACTTACACCATACACAAAAATAAATCAAAATGGATAAAGGACTTAAACGTAACACGGGAAAACATAAAAATACTAGAGGAATCTACAGGCAGCAAAATCTCAGACATATGCCAAAGCAATTTCTTCACTGATACTGCTCCTAGTGCAATGGAAACTAAAAAGAAAATAAACAAATGGGACTACATTAAAATAAAAAGCTTTTGCACAGCAAAAGAAACCATCAACAAAACAACAAGAAAGCCCACTGCATGGGAGAACATATTTGTCAATGTTATCACCAATAAGGGTTTAATCTCCAACATTTATGGGGAACTCATACAACTTAACAAAAGGAGGATAAACAACCCAATCAAAAAATGGGCAACGGACCTAATAAGATACTTTTAGAAAGAAGACATACAGAAGGCCAAGAGACATATGAAAATATGCTCAAAGTCACTACTTTTTCAAGAGATGCAAATCAAAACAACAATGTGGTACCATCTCACACCTGTCAGAATGGCTATCATCAACAAATCAACAAACAGCCAGTGCTGGTGAGGATGTGGAGAAAAAGGAACCCTCGTGCACTGCTGGTGGGAATGCAGACTGGTACAGCCACTGTGAACAGTATGGAGTTTCCTCAAAAAACTAAAAATGGAACTCCCATTTGACCCAATGATCCCACTTCTAGGAATATATCCCAAGAAACCAGAAACACCAATCAGAAAGGATATATGCACCCCTATGTTCATAGCAGCACAATTTACCATAGCTAAGATTTGGAAACATCCTAAG